ACAAAAAACATGCAGGACCTTGTGTCTGCTATAGAATATAGAGGCTTGAAGATCGGAAAGGCAATGTATCGAGAACTTACTGGATTAAAGAAACCTGTGTTGGATAAAAGTAATATCCTTCATTGGCCTGTTGTACTTCTGTATGCAGAGGTTATGTCTAGTGACTTCATTGAGGATTTCTGCGAGACTGACATGTTTTCGGTTCACCTTGATATGATATCCTTTTCTGAGAATTGGGTGATAGGAAAGCAATTTTTTATGAATATGAATGTGTTACATGCAAGCTATCAAACATATTTGCAGAAGATCAGCCTTTGTCATGGGATGTTGAAAACAACTACAAACGTGAATTTATTGAATTATACTATGAGGTAAGCTCTTGAAATTCTTTTGCCTGTTTGACTGTGTTTGTTTCTCTGAATGTAAATTGTAATTTTGAATTTCACATGGGGCAAGGTCATATCAGTATGTAGTATATATCAACTGTAAACAGTTCATCTGTATTTTGTCTTACTTAAGGATGGGATACTGCAGGGGATGCTTTATGGAATCAGCACTTGGGGACTTTGGGCATGCAAAATTTGTGTTTATTTACATAAATACTCAAGCTTGTGTTCTGATCTTAAAATAAAAAAATAAAAAAAATGTGTCGCTTCAGTTTTGCACATATATATCCTCACAATGTGTCAAATGGTCCCAATGGTGATCAAATCTGAATGGGAATTGTAAATGAAAGTAAAAGTTGGCTTTGGATACAACTTAAGTACATAATTGTTTTGTCATAAGCCCAATCTTCAATTCATTTTGACTCTTTGTTGAGTAGTTTATCATCACATTCCACTTTCTTTTTAAACATTTTTTTCTGTTACTAACTTGGACTACTAAGATTATATTTGCAACATCAATTTTTGGGAGCATAGTTCTAATTTGATGTATTATGTATCGGATGTTTGACAATTTCAAAGCATTTTTTCTCACCTTTGGTTTCTGATTTATAAGGCTGGTTCTGGACATTGTCTATCGAAGGAAAAACTTCTTTGTTGTCTATTAGAAGGAACTGCAGCTGCTCACAGTGATAGTCTTGGTGATGAAGAGAAAGATGCTGTTGAGGATTATAAGCAACAAACGGGTATGTTACTTCTGAACTACTTTTCCTCCTTTGCTGTTGATGTTTGAGTCTTACTAGTTTCTCCTTCTTTAGTGATTTATAATGTATGAAGTATTGCAATCTAAATACGAGGAAAGCATGTATTGCTCTAATTTTCGGTGAACCATTTTTGTGATGTATGATAAAACTTTTCGAACTTGTCTAATCTTTATAATTATGCTTCAGAAGGTGTTTGGTTTGGATAAGAAATAAGTATTTCGGAAATGTTTGAGTTCAAACTGACATTGTAATATTTGATACATGGCTTGTCTTAAATTTGATTTTGAACTGTTCAATATCTTTGGTAAATTTTGGTTAATCCTTTTTTAAAATTCAAATAAATTAAAAAGCAACAACGAAGAAATTTTCAGTTAAAATAAACATAGTTAGTTTAATACCAATGTTATAATGGATATTTAACTGGTCGCTGCAAAATTGATCAAATAAGAACTTATTTAAAAGCTCAAGTGATTACAATACATAACACTTAAAGAAAACAGCCGCATCACACTTAGCAAGGCAAAACGTCTGCATAATGTACGTTAAAACTTCTTTTGTTTTGCCAAATTTATGTCTTCTATTTGACTTCTCTTAGAGTAAGGATTGAATACCCAGAGAAAAGTGAGGACTTCTAACTATTGATTGAAAAGTCAACTGTAAAATTTGATTAATTATATGCACATGATGGTGAATCTGGAATTTTAGTCGTCTTATTACAAATAATACTTGTAATAGATTTGACTTCCAGATACTGAACCAGGAGTGAGGACTCACGATTGAACGTACGTTAAAAGAAACCATGGGCCTCCCCTTCTCTAAATTCTCCTAGGTTCTTATGTTACTTGGACTGTGATCAATATCTGGAATGATATGTCCATGAAACAACCGTACCCAAAGTGTGAAGGACGAGTGAATGCTTTGTATATTACTTTGCTCGATACCCACACATAAGAAGCCCTTTAGGACTGTAAGGCGGATAATCACAGACCATCTACTGCCTGTAAAAAACTCAAACCTTTTGTTAGAGGATATGAGGACAACAAAATCATCTGCAGTGATTGGTCCATGACAGGCTTAGATGTAAAACTATTCCAAACGCTTAAGCTTTGTCACTGAAGTCCAATGGTTGTATATGTTTCTAAAATGGAATATCTCAAACCATATCAATGTTAAGTGATTATTAATAGTAGTTTGTCTGAAAAATAAAGCAGTGCTTGTGTCAAGATCTAGAACTATTAAATATTAGATATATCCATATATATATATATACTCATATAATATATATATAATATAATAATTATATATATAAGCAAATTTTAACCATTTGATTACATGGATTTTGTTGTTTGATTTTTCAAAATATAACCTGCGAGATAAAACATCAGGATCAGTTGAAAACTTGATGTGATCTTTTATGTTCACAGGTTCCCCAAAATGGATCAAAGTGAATGAAAGGAGGACACTCCATGATGTTCTCAAAGAGCCTAATTTCATCATTCTTGGAATCCCAGGTAAAATATAGTGCACGAAAATGTATTGTCTCCTTTATCATTGGTTTTGTTTAGAATTTCCTCTGTGATGTATTTGCAGTCTTCTATGTTATATCGAAGAGATCCAGCTTTTACAACAAGTTCAAAGCTGGAAAGTGGGCTCCTCCAAATGTATGAAGGAAGAAACAAGCATGGTTTAAAGGTTGGAATGTTTCAAACTGAAAGTCTTGAAGATTGCTGTAGTTCTTCCAACGTATGGACACTCCTTTTAACTAGACCGTTACCTTCCATTATTGAAATTGTTTGGTTACCCGTGAAAGCAGTTAGCCGGTCCAGTGGCAATGATAGTACTAAAATACAGGAATCTCTTGAATGAGTCCCAAATCTTCTCCCTATACGTTGTCAACCAAAGTACAATGTTAGTTGCATGTATTTTTTGGCACAATGTATAATTTGTACGTTTTTGTTATAGACTTTTATAAGTTCTTGGTGCATAATAGTTTTCATTATGCAGAATGTCCTGGTTATATTTTCACTTAGCACACCACTGTTGGCTATAACGTGAGTTTGTTTATTTTTGTTTTCCACTCGATTGCCTTCGTCATCTTCCTTATAATTCCTTTGTACAATCAATAAATATAAAACTAGATAAAAACAGTGCAATAGGGACTAATTTAGCAGCAAGAGATGATGGATTATATATAGGGTAGTTACTTTCAGGTCAGAGTAACCTATTATTTAAAAAAATGAAAACAAAGATACTATTACTATTTTATTCACATAATATAAAGTGAAAAAAACAAGTACATAAATAAACAACGGTGACACTAAGTTTTTATTTAACCATTATAATATGTAATTAATCAAATTTGGATCTATGGCACAGGTTTACTCTGAAAAAAAAAAATTATTCCACTTTTTGTGTGAGAATGATTGGTGTAAAGGCAAAAAAAGAAGCTGAAGGGACCTAGTATTCCCATTTGGTGTTTTAATTTCGAAACTTGTAAAGATTTGGGGCCTTCACTAGTTAAACTTGTAACAAATTTATTTATAAACAGTTGTACTTTATGAAGAAGGAGAAGCACTGAGTCATCCAAGTGTCTGCTGTTTGACACTCTAGGATTATTTAAGAGATTGGTATGGGCGATAACTCACTCCACACTTTTTTGCAGATATTTGCTACCCTGTGACAGCATACATCGAATGTTATTCATTATCAACATCTTCGGACAGTTAAACTAAATCACCGTCAAAAAGAGATTCTGATAGCTAGCTATTTTCAATGCCAACTGACATGAGAAGATAACATTCATATTATTATCAAGGCATGCATGCATGCACGTCTTATGAAGTCTACATAGTCATAATTGATTTTACTTGATTTCATCATCACTCATGCATTGCAAGCACACAACGGAGACATCCTCCTTCATGCATGAGGTCAAATGCCTTATTGATCTCCGCAAGAGTCAAACTGTGGGTGACGTACTCATCAACCTTGATTTCCTGCAAAATGATTCAGTCAAGCTTATATATTTTGTCCATAAAACTAATCATGCATTTTCACTTTCATATTTACATTTAAGCTTAATGCAAACACTGGTTCAAAACCTTTACCTTATTCATGTACTTTTCTACAAGCCAAGGCACTTGTGATCGGCTCTTGAAGCCACCAAATGCTGTTCCCTTCCATACACCGTCCATGTCACCAGCTGGAAAGTCGAGAATACATATGTCCTGACCTGATTCTGCACCCCCACAATACTGATGGTCCCCAACCCATGCAATTTTTCAACAACCTTAAACCTTAGACCTTAAACTTACTAACACACTTGTGTTTATGCATTACTTTCTGCTATCAATGTTCCCTAACTTCTGTTAAACTTTAGATGTTTTAATACCTGTCACTAATTCAGTTTGATAATGTAAAACCTTCAGCAACTCACAAATGGTTTCACATGCCCAAAATATGTCCAGCCAAACATCTTACTTTCTCTTTTAATGTTCAGTTAACTCTGAAACCACACTTGATTGTTAGCCACTATCAGAAACCGTCAAGGGTTTTTACAGTGATCAATTTTAATTTATACATGTTTCAATACTTTTACTGTTTACTACATAGATGTTCTGGACACTACAATATACTAAAACACACGTAGGCAAAACGGTAAGAGCTAAAAGATAAAAAAACAAATGCTTGAACAAGACTAAATCCGTACAATTTGTAATTGATCTAAAGACTTAAACTAATTAATCTAATTCTATTTTGTACATCCATGGATCGGTATTAGGCATGAGGGATTGAGACCCAAAAAATTGAGGTATAAGCCAACTAGAAGGAATGCAGTAGCGAGCAACCTTACGCGCAGCATTCCAAGCAGCTCTACATCACCGTGACATTTCCAAATACATCAACACTGTATCAACTCCCATCCATATGTGAGATCAACTATGACCTGCTGATATTAGTTTCTCAGTGTTCTTTTGGATTAAGAAATTCGGTTCACTACAAAGTTCTTTGCTGCAAGTGTAGCAAGACAAGTAAATAAAAGAAGAAATGCAGCTTTTTAGTAGAAAATGAATGAAAACGAAGGCTGAAAATAAACAATAAGTAAAGTAGCTACACAGAAGAAAAATCATACGCACACAATCGCATTAAATACAATTACAAACCCAAAGAACAAAGAACTCAGATCATATTTTGGGGCTATAATTATTCCCACTTGTGAGTGAAACACTATTGAAACCATCTTTATCAGACAACATAAAAAAAATGTGGTTTTTGTATGATTGGATCCACAGATGATGGTTAATACACTGAATTTGACAAGTATTAGTCAAAATACATACATAATAGAGATACTTACAGCATTAAAGGCACACTCATGTCAAAACTATGTCAATAAGCTTAAGGTGTACCTCTTTCAAACTTATTGCTATCAATATCTATGCCAATAATCCTTGATGCACCAACAGCTTTTGCACCCTCTGCTACCTGCAAGTGCAAATTTTGAGTCACATCTCATAATGGTAGCACTGACTCCAAGAAAAAAATTGCCAAAGTTGACTACTGTTATTTTACAAACTCACAGCAAGCCCAACAGTTCCAAGGCCAAAAATAGCAACAATTGACCCCTTTTCCACCTTTGCAGTGTTCCAGACAGCTCCAAGACCTAAAATTTCATACAAAATAATAATTGAATTGGGTACAATATTAAGCAAGCAATATTGTTTTTAGAACTCATACAAAACGGACATGGATAATTTTGAGTTCAACCAAACTAGGAGAGTAATATCACGATTAGTATTTAGTGATGAAACTTGTTTGTTCATCCATAATCTCTTCGTTGGATAAAAGAGAGATATGAAAACTTAGGAAGAGAATATGAAGATGGTTCTCTGTTGAAGGGTTTTGTGAATACATAAATAACGGATAATAATTTCAGAGTACACACTTAGACAAAAATAAAATAAAAATTATAACAAATTAACATGAATACAATCACACGTAATCAAGTATATGTATATAGTTGTAGTTAGCATATATAGCTAACTACATAAAAAAGAGAGAGAGAGAGAGAGAGAGAAATAATGACAATCTGAACCCAACAAAATTTAAAAATGATCTAATAGCAGTTACAAGCAGATGCTAATACTTTAGAAGATAAACTAGACAATGTTTCTTAAAGGATATTTACTAGACACGACACACTCTATTGGAAGCATCAACTAGACGTTGCCATTAGACAATCTACCTGACGAATAAGAAATAAGAAAAAACTCAATAAATATCCTCCTTGACTTGATTCTTCTTCTACGTCAATGTTGTCAGAGATTACCACCAACAATCACCATTGAGAAATTTCAAACACGGCATGAACTTGCTTCACAAACTTGGTGAACATAGTAACAAGATTCTCCTTCATAAGATTCTTCAGCACTTCAATTCGTTCTTTAGTATGAAGAAAATGATATCTAACATCAATGCATTTGGTTTATTCACAATGACCTTGATCTTTAGTAAAAAATAAATTACACTCGGATTGTCATTAAAGAAAATAAATTTCTGGCTTAATTAGTATTTGCTCCCTATATTATAGTATTTGAATTAGTAGGAAAAGTTGGAACCATATTTGTAATTGGATAGATAAAAGGTTCAACTAAAGGCATAGACAACACTTGTTGAACAAAGTTAACATCTTGTGTAGATGAAGAGAATAAAAAAGTTTCTTAAAAATATGTGACACTTATTCATGTAATATTTTTCAGTGTTAAGAGAATAACATTGATATCATTTTTGAAGACAAGAATACGGTAAGAAGACACATTTGATGGCTTGGGCTGAAAGTTTGTCCAAACCTGGAGACACATAATGTACAAAAACAAACATAACCAAAGACTTGAAGAGTAATTGAAAAAAGAGGTTCATTTGGAAATACAATGGAATATGGAACTTGATTGTTCAAATAAAAAGAATACATTTGATTGATTAATAAGATGACAAACAATAAGGATAACATCAATCTAATGATAAATAAGTAAATTGCCCAAATCAATAAAGTACAGGAAGTTTCAACTAAATGTCTATTCTTTCTTTCTGCTGTAACATTTTCATAGAGTGTATAAGAATAAGTAGACTAATGTAAAAGAGTAGAAAAACAAGAAGAAAAATATATTTTTTTGGCATTATCGGTCCTTTAATATCACTTTGCCAAATTGGTTTTTAATTTTATTAAGGAAAGACTCAAAAATATTATGAAATTCAGATATTACTTTCATTACGTAAACCTTAGTGCAACAAGAATATTCATCAATAAAAGTGATAACATAGTCAAACCCAAAGGAAATGACTCGACTATAACCCCAATAATGAATTATAGAAAAGATAGAATTGCATCATGTTTCAATTCTTTTTGAAAAAAAAAAGAATGAACATGTTTTCCAAATTTACTTAACTCACGTTCTAAGGTTTGAATTTTTCTAAGTTCAAGAAATTTTATTTATTTTTTTAATTTTGACAAATGTAGATGACCTAAGCAATCATGCAAAAGTTTAGGAAATGATGATACTAAACAAGACATTGATGTTCTAGAACCAAGATAGAAGAGTCTTCTTATCCTTTCCCAAATCAATTGACCAATACTAAATTCTTGTAAGACAAAAGAATTTGCATCAAAGGTAATGGAACAATTCAAGGATTTGTTTAATTGACTTAGAAAAATTAGATTGAAAGGACAATTACAGACAATAAGAAGATGATTTAGGTTTAAGGATGGAGAAAGGGAGATTTGATCATTAAAAAGTAACTTTAGATTCATCGGCTAAAGTAATTACTCGAGGAATTTTAGAATAAGAAATATAAAGAAAGTAATGAAACATCACTAGAAATATGATCAAAGCACCTAAACTAATTATCCATGAATTTTTACGCTCCAAGGCTTGAGAAATGCAAGTTTTTGACAAAAATAGAATGAGTGAAGGATTGTGCTTGGCTCTCAAATTTTGACCTCGGAAAGGCAGCCTAAGAGACATACATGGCTTAAGGCCTAGGAGACATTCTCATAGGGGTTGGGTCGCGCTGAGGTGCATCAGTCCAAGGCGTCCGACGACAAAAAAATGATGACGAACGGTGGCGAATAGCGAACGGTGACAGACAGTGACGAATTATTTTTAACACATGAGCAGATAACAAGTTATAAATTGTAGTGAAGAGTATTTATTATAAAAATAATTAACATACCAGTTGGAACACCACATCCAAGAAGACAAACTTTGTCCAAAGGAGCTTTGGGATGAATCTTGGCTACACTAACATCATGAACAACAGTGTATTGACTAAATGTGGAAGTTCCCATAAAATGATAGAGGGGTTTTCCGTTAACAGAGAAGCGACTTTTGCGATCGCTCAACATCACCCCTACTCCAGTTGCAGCTCGAACTTTCCCACACAGATTCGTTTTCCCAGATTTACAAAACTTGCACTCTCCACACTCAGCCTGGTAACAAGGTATCACATGATCACCAACCTCAACTTCAGTAACACCTTCTCCAACACTTTCCACAATCCTGCACCAAAACATATTTAACAATAAATTATAATATTTTATCCTGTCCATCAAAACTTTTTCTATTATATATTATACCCTGCAGCCTCATGACCCAGTATACATGGAAAAAGACCTTCTGGATCCTGCAAAATCAATATAAAATAAATTCATGAGACAAAAAATCTCCATGCACCAATCAAACATATCATTGAATTAACCCTAGCAGTGCAAAAACTTAGGTGAATACCAAAAAGATAATTTTTTTTCTACATTGCCAATCAAGTTCATACCCAGAAGAAGAAAACACCAATCAAGCCAAAAGAAAAAAAAAATAGTGGGACAGAACAAAAATAAGGTACCTTGCCGCTCCACGTGTAAGCATCGGTGTGACACAGAGCAGTGTAGAGAATTTTGATTCGGACCTCTCCATTTTGCGGCGGAGCCACCTGAACGTCCTCAATGCTCAATGGCTTGTTTGGTTCCCAGGCCACCGCGGCTTCATCATGAAATCAAAAGTTTCAATCAATGATTCAGGTATGAATACACAAAATGTAAAGATGTTAATAACAAGAGAGGATTTGAAATATGTATTGCGATGAAAGAATGGGACCTTTGCAGGTAATGACTTGTCCTTGAGTAGCCATGGAAGAGAAGAGAAAAGAGCTGAGATTGGTTCAATGAGATATGGACACTAACGCAGTCTATGATACGAGGTATCAGATTGTTTGAAGATTATATATACCAGGTTTATATAGTCAGATACTGACAGTGGGAGTTCAGACCAAATCACATAATGTAAACAATAAAAACCCTCGTATCTTTTTAGGTTTTATTAAGCTCTAGGCAGTGTAATTTATAATTTATATTAATTTATAATTTTTAATTTTTAATTTTTAATTCATAATTCATAGTTTATAATTTTATTTCTAATTTGTTATTTATAATTTAATTGTAACCTAATAAATATACTCAAATTTATCAAGAATTAAAAACAAAAGTTTTTTATTGTTATTCTTCTGTTTTATACATATAGGTACTATAAATTAAAGAATATTAAACTTATTTCAATTACTTTTAAAAATGAGGTTTAATATATTGTTTAAAAATCTCATGACTAATTATTTTATTATACGGCCATGTTAAGTAAATGGAATAATGGAGAGAAGTAATAATATAGTTGTAAAAGTGAGTCTAGTCTCTTTAGACTCACTATGTAAGTGAAAAAATATTAGTTTGGTTTGGATTAGTCAATTAAATGGTTATATTTATTTAAATTTTAAAATTAATATATATATATATATATATATATATATATATATATATATATATATATATATATATATATATATATATATATATATATATATATATATATCACGATAGGGTTAGAAAATGTTAGAATTGTTCGGTAAGGCACGTTTAATACACTCTAGGTTATGTAAATAACTCTATAGTCATTCGGTTACGACAACAATTAGATAGAGTTAAAGTGTAATTAATACGTTAGCAACTATTGATGATTGGTTGACCGGTGTTAGGGACCATTAAGAGGTAAATTAATTGGTCAAAATCTTCTAAATTGTATAAATAGAGATTTAATTTCGAGGTAATGTTTATGCTTTCCTAATTGCATTACTTTAGACATCCTCCAAAGAAAAATTCTGACTTGAGCGTCAGAGTATATTATGCAGGTCGCTCCTAAAAATCGATCGGACACCAAGAGCACGGAGGAGAGCAGACAATCATCTAGGAAGAAGAGTTGAGCAGGAGTCATCCTCGTCCCATTCAGCAGAAACATTTTGGCGCCCACCGTGGAGCTTGAGCTACATCCCGTGTAATCACGAGGAACCAGATGAGCGCTTGGTCTCAGCATCATTGCTTTGGTTATAAAAAATTCATCACCTGCACATTCTTATTCTCATACTATTTATCACTAAGTGCAAGATTATAAAAAATTGTTTTTACAAAAGCCAATATAAGAACAGATAAGTCCAAAACTCTATATTTGCTTTCAAAATATGGATGAACTTTTTCTGATATATATATTTCAAGGGGAGAAAATGAATCCCTTTCTTTTTGCTTTTGAGATTTAGTTTGCTTTACTGTCCTTAGCTACAATTGCAAGGAATTATCAGAACATTTTTAATTCACAACATGCTGGAGAAGGAGAGGAAAATCCCGTCGGCATGGGTGGCATGGGATGCAGTGCATAACTCATTGTTAACCACTATAAGCTGAGGAACAACATCAAGAGCTACAACCTGAGCGACATGGGATGCAGTGCGGAACTCATTTCTATTGACCTGGCTAAGGACCTTCTCAAAGTCAACCCTAACTCCTACACCCTGGTGCTCAGCACAGAGAACATAAACCTCAATTAGTACTTCGGTGACGATTACTCCATGCTCCTCTACAACTGCATTTTCCGAATGGGCGGCACTGTCATCCTCCTTTCCATCTACTAAATAACCTTTCTGTTTGAGTGCAAAAAAAATGATAAATTAATTGATGAACTAGCCACTTACTTTCCTCATGAACAAGAGGGTATTTTTAAATTCAACAGTGAATGCTGGAAGATTTTCAATGTACTTCATACGAAATGCTTTCTTATTTGTCTCCATTCTAATGTTCATATCTGCGGGGGGGAATATTCATACATGATAAGGGATATCTTAAAATAATTTATATAGTCAATCTAAGGCTTGAGTACGGAAAGGCTTCGTGATTGGAGTCCTTCACCAGAAGCACCCTCCAAGAATGGGGTCTTCAAATGGTTATGACCTTTCAGCCTCAACGCATCCTAATGCAATTATCTCAACATGGACATGCTCCAATGTTAATTGCTCGAAAACGTGTTAGCCTTCCTATCTCATGGTTTTAGGCCATTCATGGTAGACAATTTTTCTTTTGTGCATGATATAGCCCAGACAAACCTTGGTCTCTCTCCCGCTCGGTCACAAGGCATTAAGCACTAATATCTCGGCCATGACATCCTAATATGGATTTATCATTTTTGTCTTCAAACGTTCAACTTAAGACCGAATGGTCTCGCTTGCTTGATCGTCTGACCTGTAACAAAATACAATAATATTAATTGTTTAAGTCATAAATGTGTTAGTCTGATTGTCTAACATTTTTTTGATCGTTTAAATTCGAATTATTATTCTTCAGTGCAAATGACAGGATCCTACATACAAACCACTTGGCTAACTTTGAGCAACCTACCGGCAGGGAACGTTTTTCAACTCCTGCTGAGCCCTTCACAGGTGGTCAAGAAACGTTTTTCAACTCCTGACTTACCTTCAACTAGCCGGTAGGGAACATTTTTTAACTCCTGTCGAGCCCTTCATAGGTGGTCAGAGAACGTTTTTCAACTTCGGACTTACCTTCAACTAGCCGACATGGAACATTTTTCAACTCTTGTCGAGCCCTTCATAGGAGGTTAGGGAACGTTTTTCAACTCCTGACTTAACTTCAACTAGCTGACAGGGAATGTTTTTCAACTCCTGTCCACCCATTCAAAAAGTGGTCAATGAACTTTTTCAATTCCTGCCTTACTTGCAACGAGTGGTCAAAGAAGTTCAAAATCTTGGTCAAACGTACAACAACTCACAAAGACACATGTCGAAGGTAAAATTAATTCGCATCAGAAGCATACTACCTAAAATCCCTTCGTACATTATATCGTGCTCAGACTTAGGGGGTTTATGTACTGTAGGACTACTTATGCTAATTAAACTACTAAACTAAACTAAGGAACTCAGTTAATTATGTCACTTAAGAACTAAAACAACACTAGACCTATTTTAAAAACTACATCCAAGTCTATCTATTTAGGCTAAAATACTAGTTGACAAACTATGACACTAATATCTAAATTAAAACTCTATGATCCTAGGATATTCCAAAGCTAATTCTAAGACTTACACTAAAAATGTGCTAAAGTAGCCTAATTAAGCTAAACTTATAAAACTAACCTAAAATACTTCTTAAACTAAATCTAAGTTAAAAACTCACAGTTAACAACTTAAACCTACCCAAAAGAATGCAATTATTCAAGAAAAACTTCAAAGATAAAGAACTTATCACATCCCTACACATGAACTATTGCACTTGGACAAGACAATGAAACAATCTTTAAACTTTCTAAAAACATAACAAATTCTAAAAACAAACTTATATATTTAACTCATTTTCCAATCTAACTCTAAATTGCACATGAAAACAAAATTTTCTAATTCAAGCTTCAAAACTTTCAATTATAAAAACTAACTCTAGATAAAGACATTAGTACTAAATAATCAAAACCAATGACAATGATACACAGATCTATGCTTGTTTTAACTCTGCTATATAAAAGATATTTACGTTCTTATTATACATAGATCTGCGTTTATTTTAATCTTAATATATAAAGAACTTAAGATATGATAATACATAATGATATATTTGATGTCCCATATCATATCATGTATAAATATGATTTAAGGAAGTCAATCAAGAATAAAATTATGACATTAATTAACATTTTCTCCTAATAATGTAGATAAGTTAAAGTGAACAAATATAAAGAATGATCATGATTCTCCCTAGTGAAAATCAAACATCTCACTCTTATCATACAATATTACATATAATATATTTTTCATGAATTCTCCCAAATTTTTTTATAACAATGTCATCAATTTCATCAAATATATATCGAGTCTAACCATAACAAGTAAAAGGAATTAATGTAACACAAAGTATTTTATATCACTTCTTATGATAAATGATATTTAAGTATAAAATTCAGAAAACACAAAATAAATATTTTTATTTATTTTATAGAAATCGAATGGAATACAAAATATATTTTATAAAATATTAGATTAAAAGAAGCCTGTGTATAACCTACCTTATTAAATCAATCCATAATAGAAACAAATTTACTTTAGTAATTACAAAATATTCAGAAATTAAGTGAATATTTTAAAGACTCATTAATTAGATTAAAACGACTAATTTATAGTATAAACCGATCTATTTTAATAGCTTGGCCATTGTCACATCAATACATGCATTCATCTTAACATGTTCATCACACCGATAACTTCTTAAAAATTATACTATAATTTAATCGTGATCAACATTATTCAATAAAAAAAAGGTAAAAAAAAATGAAATCTAAAATTGTAGAACGTGAAGTCTTGAAGACCAAAATGGCTGTGTTTATTAATTTTAAGCAATTAAAGATTGATAAAGTGATAAAATAAAAATACCTATCCTGAACTATATAATATGGAGTAAAAGTATCATGAGATGCTTTTATATTTTATTTGACAAAGAATATAAAAGGAAAATAATTATAAAAATATAAATTTTTATATTTTTTAAGAAAAAAAAAGTAAAAAAGGTAATATAAGTAAAAAATTTAGGTGTGTAAATTTTTTTTTTCTACAATATGAGAGCACATACATTACAGAGATTGTGAATGTGAATGTCTGTTCTTAGATGATCTGAAACAGTGGGTTTAGGGTTTAATTCGATTGGATTTATTTAGATTCCTCATATCACAGCGCCATTGGAAGTGTTTGGTTTCTTCCACAGAGAGTGATTACTGCGTAGCAGTAGAAAGAAAAGGATTGTCGAAATTCTAGTTTCAGATTCTTGCTATATATATTTATGGCAACTATGCGTGGAACTGCGAGAAATTTTTTGATTTCCTTTTACCGAACCATTTCCTCTGCAACTTTTCCACCTCCTCCCGTTGTTTCTTCCCGAAGAGTAGTTGTTACTGGTAACTAACTAGCTAACTGTTCCTTCATTTCATATCATGTTTGTTTTTCGGTGCTGAGTTCAGATTCCATTTCAATTGACGATGTTTTAGGCTTAGGTATGGTGACTCCTCTTGGCTGTGGAGTGGGCACAACGTGGAATCGCCTAATTGATGGGGAGTGTGGGGTAAGGGCATTGTCTTTGGAAGACCTCAAGATGAGTTCTTTTGATAAGGAAACTCAGTTGAGTGCCTTCGATCACTTGACATCGAAAGTTGCTGCTCTTGTTCCTACTGGAACCAATCCAGGTGAATTCAACGATCAAATCTGGCTTAATTCTAAGGTAATCTTTTTATTATCATTGTTATCGTTATCTCCTACACTGCCTGATGAGATGACTTTTCGTAGATACAACACTTTGTACTTTTAACTGGGATGAACTTCTTTTATGCTTATTGATGTCATTGTAGTACTGTGACATTTACCTTAGGACCATCGATCAATAGCAAGGTTTATAGCATATGCACTGTGTGCTGCTGATGAAGCTCTCAAAGATTCTAATTGGTGTCCCACTGAGCAGGAAGACAAGGAAAGAACGGTATGCGTTTTTGGAATTTGGTTAATAACAAATCATTTTTTTTTTTTAATTTTGCCTTGTAAGTTGTGTTAAAACTTCAAAAACTATTAGGGAGTGTCTATTGGTGGGGGAATTGGAAGCGTTAGTGACGTCCTAGATTCTGCTCAACTGATCTGTGAGAAGGTCAGTTAATTGAAACTCACTGGTCTTGAATCTTTCCCTGTCAGTTTTTCAACAAGAGTTTTTAGTTATGGCAGCGAAATATTTAGTAATTTAAATAAAGTATACTGCATTTGATATTTACTTCTTCTACCCTGAATACAGCGTCTTCGTCGCCTTAGTCCATTTTTTATCCCACGGATATTGATCAATATGGCATCGGGTCATGTGAGCATGAAATATGGGTTCCAGGTGAAGAGACTACTTTCTGCTGAGTTATATTCTATACTACAAAGTGCAAATATTAATGAGCTCCTGGCCTCCTTCAATTGCTGGAGCGCAGGACACGCAACCACATTTTCATCTGCTAGCTTATAAATACGTGTGTTGTGAATTTTAAGATGAAAGTTATTTCTATATTATAGAATTGTTTTCCCTTCTATAGAATGGATGTAGGAAATATATCTTCTTGCTTCCATGTTTCTTCATGTTATAATAATTTCTAAGATCATTATCCAATGAAAAGTAACAGCTTCTGAGACAAAAAATTCCTTCATGTTAATTTGGATGAGTAATTGTCTGTTCATCAGCTTTGAGAGTTTAAATTCTCAAAGAAAAATGTTATATCTCCCTGTAGAACAATTATTAGTTTATAACATATGTCAACAATATTATCAGTAAAAGGAGTAGTAAAGCTAATGTTTCGGAGCTATTAGGATGTTGTTATGCTATGACTTTTTCTATCCTTAATAATCCTGAGCAATGGAAGAAGTTATTTCGTATTCCGGAATTCTTGAATGTAGGGACCAAATCATGCTGCAGTTACTGCATGTGCCACTGGTTCACATTCTATTGGTGATGCAATGAGAATGATTCAATTTGGGGATGCAGATGTTATGTTGGCTGGAGGCACAGAGTCCAGCATTGATGCATTATCAATTGCAGGATTCTGCAGGTAAATTATGATCAATGCCCTGTGTCCTCTGTTATTATTGACAACTTTAGTAATCAGTTGTCCTTTTTTCCCTCTGCATTTTAAATCTGATTATGGAGACTTGCAGGTCTCGGGCTCTGTCAACAAAATATAATTCAAGCCCTCTGGAAGCATCACGGCCATTTGATTGTGGTCGAGATGGGTTTGTGTAAGTATATTTGCTTTGAACATTTGTTTCTGATTGTAATCATGTTTGTTGTGATTGATTCATTTGGTTTGTTTGCCTTGCTGCTTATATCAAAGTTACTTTTACTCAGGATAGGTGAAGGTTCTGGAGTCTTGGTCTTGGAGGTTGGTTAAGAACTTTATTGTGTTTCATATTTTATTTATAATATTTGACCTTTCTTAATTATTTGTTCTCCTATCTTTAAGGAATTTGAGCATGCAAAAAATCGAGGAGCCAATGTCTATGCAGAGATTCGTGGCTATGGGATGTCAGGTAGTTTGTTGCAGGATATGGGATTTTCTTCTAGCCTTAATTTTAAATTTGGTTGACTTCTTTCATGTGGAATTTAACTAGGTGATGCATATCATATCACTCAACCTCCTAGTGATGGAAGAGGTGCCATTATGGCTATGACTCATGCTTTAAGACAGGTATCGTTTATCTTCCTGTATTGTTTGCATTTGTTATGCATCATTAGAGGTTCTGTCGGCTGAGCTGCCAACTTTTGATCTACACCTGTCCTGATGGTGTGAGCTGTTATTCTGTGTACCTTTCCCCTTGTTTTTTACATTGTATTGGCATATAAATGAGAAGGTATACTCGCTGTTTCATTTCATTGACACTGAGTAGGGATGACAGTCAAATTGGTAGCCATCAAAATTACCCACGATGGTTGTCGGTGATATTCAAGTACTAGGAGCTACCCATGAAATATAAGTTTAAGGACGATTATCGTAGAACACTTACCCAAGCCCAAACCTGCTGATAGGTTTCTTGGCAGCAAGAAACCCAAGATACCCTTGGTTAAGCACACAACACACACACACACTCACAAAAACAGTAAACTGTATTGATTTCTGAAGAACAAGGACAAGTTCGATAGCCACCAAGGAAGCAATTCTTCCTTCACACAGGATGTAATATTCCTGTCAAACAACTAACAACAGAAACCTTGAGACACTCTCCCCCCCTTTTATAGCTAACACCTTAACCCAAACACACCTACCCTAACAACCTAACTAACTTTCCCTCCTCCTAACCCTCATGTCTTGTTTATAATTCCCTTCTTCCTTTCGTATACCCTTAGGGTCCTATCACCTGCCCTACCCAAAATTATGTAAGTGAAGATTCTGTTATGTTAGTGTCCACACTAAATAGCCAAACCATTATTATAATCAGCATATGCTAGATACTTCGGTGCTTTTAGCATTTATTATTTGAGAGATCTGCACGCCTCTTTAGCAAAACTTTAGTCTTAATGATTAAGAATTAAATTCTTCTGCCATGTTGTATTTTCGTTTGCTTTGTGCATTGGCTTAGACGTGTCCGGATATACTAATTTTAAACGATTTTCATGATACGCAGTCAGGTCTCCATCCTTCTGATGTGGATTACATAAATGCACATGCTACATCTACACCTTTGGGCAAGTGAAGTGAACCTATGCCGATTCCAGCAATTTAAGCTTGAATATTGTTATTTTTTAATACTACCTCTCTGTGTGTCTGTGCTTTTGCCGTAAATTTTCTCACCAGAATTCTCTATATAGGCGATACCATAGAAGGTCATGCTATCAAAACCATGTTCTCTGACCGAACAAGCTCATCTGCTTTAGCCTTCTCCTCCACAAAGGTAAAGCTGCAATTTTTTACTTATCTGATTGTCTGTATAATCTAAGTGTCGGTTGCTTCTTCGATGTGAGCTCTCACCTATGGCAGATGCCATTTAGTTTTTATTTTATTTTGATGGGGATATCTATGATTAATTAACACAATTTCTTCAGGGGGCTATTGGTCATCTCCTAGGTGCAGCTGGAGCTGTTGAAGCGATTTTCGCAGTTTTAGCAATACGACATGTAAGCAATTTTTTTATGCACTTTTTTCAAGAAGTTGTGGGGAAGTATTTTTGTACGTACTGTTGCTTTTACGCATAGTCTAGAGCCAGACCCTGTATGTTTAATCTATTATAACTGTTTCTATGATGTTCTTATGACAGGGAATTGCTCCATTAACTCTTAATTTAACTAAGCCAGATCCTGTCTTCGATGATGGTTTCATGCCATTGTCTGCTTCAAAAGAAATGCCAATTAGAGTAGCCATGTCAAACTCTTTCGGTTTCGGAGGCACAAATGCGTCCCTACTTTTTGCTCATACTGGTTCGGACTGATAAGATGGTTACATCTCATTCCATTGGTATTAGTTGACAAGAGCTGCTTGTGTCATGCTGAGGAGAGTTTAATGACCTAAAAGTTCTTGGCAGCAGGCATGTAATTGGAGCTCATGTTCTGCTATGTACATTTGATGCTTCTAGTACTTTTGCAAATTAGGTTTTGAATGCTATTAGCTCGACTGTTTGGAACGCAGCGTTGTTGATTGAACATTCATAAAATGAAGGATCTGATTCCTAGTTTTGTTAAAAGCTTGAAAAAATTTGTAGTAAAATTAAGAATGTAGATTTTATCCTATGAAGGTTAAATAAATTTCACTTAAGTTTTGTCAACGAGTTCCTTAAACATTTTATTTAAGAAGATTTATGTTATTTGTACTTTAAATTCTTACATTTTATAAAATCTGCAATCTTTAGTTCCTAAGTTATTTTCTGTAATTTTAGTTTTTAGTTTTTAATTATTAATACTTTTTTTTTACTTAGAAATTAAAATTTCTAATTAACAAGTATTTTTAATTTCTCGTGCTTAATGATTGTTTTTTTAAACAAATCGAAACCTCCCTAGTTGGATGGTTCATTTCCATTGAGGCAAAGTGCAATAAATGATATCGTTGAAAAACAATTTGGCATGATTTGATTGGTAGTTGTTAAATATGGATACCCAACTTCCTCATATCATAATATTGAATCTCTCCGATCCCAAATATTATATTTTTCTCTTCAAAATCCCAGTGAACACCACCCAACACAAACCTAGTTTTTCTCAGTGCTCTACTGTGGTCAACTTTGTTCTTTATAATATTTATTCTCTTCCTCGACCTCTTCCAATTCTTCCATGGCTTCCGATTCCAATTCAAATCTTAGAATCACCATTGAAAGCAATCCTCCCGAGTCACGTCTAGCTGAATTGAATATCAAGTGTTGGCCCAAGTATGCATGCATGCTCTCTTCTCTTTTCCACCTCTTTGTTATGATATTTTCTTCTGTCTCCATTTAGATTCATAACATCCATGTATGATTATTTATGGTCTTCCTTCTTTTCTTTTGGTGGGGTTGGAAAAAAAACGAAAAATGAAAGATGGGGTTGCTCTCCAGGGAAGTACCAATTAAAGTTTGATGCTGAAGAGACGTGCTATTTGTTGAAAGGGAAGGTGAAGGCATACCCAAAAGGGTCATCAGAGTTTGTGGAGTTTGGTGTTGGAGACCTAGTGACCATCCCAAAGGGACTCCATTGCACTTGGGATGTTTCAGTTGCTGTGGATAAGCACTATAAATTTGAATCAACACCATCATCTTCTTCTTAGCATCAATTAGCATTGTATATTGTGATTAATTAGTTTAATTAGCACCATTATTTGTTCCAATTCTTTCACAGTTTCATTATTTAGTATTTTGTGGAAGACAAATGGGGTTGTTTGGTTGTGCTGGGAATTGGGGATTTTAGTCAAAGGAAGAACCAATCAGTCAAAGGTATAGCTTTAAAGAGTTAGATATTTGATAGGTACAGCTTTTAATGTTTCTTTGACTCGTCCATCTGTCCATCAGATTTTTTTTTTTTTTTAATATCTCAATAAGTCCTTATTTTTGTTCAGAATTTGAAATAGATCCCTTTATTTTTGGCGTCTCAATTGGGTCCTTATTTTTGTTAATTTGAAGCAAATAAATCCTTTTCGTCAATTTCATCAAACGGCGTTAATGAATGTGTGACGTGGCCTGAGAACAGTATTGACACGTGTAAGGCCACGTCACACATTCATTAACGGCGTTTGATGAAATTGACGGAAAAGATTTATTTGCATCAAATTAACAAAAATAAGGACCCAATTGAGACGCCAAAAAATAAAGGGACCTATTTCAAATTCTGAACAAAAATAAGGACCTATTGAGACATTAAACCATTTTTTTTTTCTCATCCCAAATTTTGTATCTTATAATCTTCATCTATTTTTATATTTAAAGACTTAAATATTTGAAATGTAAAATTTATATGTTACATTCTAAAATACACAGTCCTAAGTTAAAACAGAAGTACGTGAAGATTTTTATTGGTACAAAACCTTTTCTACCTGTCACCCATAATTTCTAACGGTACCTCATAATTTTTTAAAATAACCATTTTATCCTTTGTTAAAGAGACTTCAGGATTGGAAATCCTCTGAAATTTCAGAAACATGAATTTCAAAATAGAATTTTTGGAAAAAAAAAGGGATTTTCAGAACAAGATTTCTATCGAAATGCATTTTGGAATGAGTTTGTAGAACAAAATTTCCAAAACAAGCTTTGATGACATAACCCTAACAATGATCAAGAATACTAAAGAAGAGTTGGAATCATGTGTGGAAAGTGGGTCATGGGTCAAGTAGTTTAGGGTGTCCTTTTGGATCTTGTATTTGGACTTTTTGAGTCTAGAGGAGATGGGTCAAACGCTAGTGAGTGATGTTTACTATATGCTGTTAAGTTTCTTTGAAGGCTGGTGTTACAGTTACAATAATTGATGTAATGCTAAACTAAATTGGGAAATCTATCAGAATTTGATCATTTCCTTCGTCTACGCCTCTTTTGGCGAATGCACAAAAAACTAAATAGCAAAATACCTGTCAAAAGTAAAATACATGAAGCATAAACAAAATAAATATAGGAGTCCAAAAATGTATGGTAAAAAAACAAGTATTTTACTAACCAGTTACTGCAACAACAAAAGTAAGCAACCAATTTCCAACAACCAACACAGGTGCATCAGGCTATAAAAAATGATCAAAGAATCCACAACATCAACAATATGAAGTTTTTAATTACAAACATAAAGGTCAACACTAAATGACAAATAAAATAGTTGTACCTCTTCCTCAGAGAATCACCCTTTCTTTTTACATTCAACCTAGGCTGCTTAATGTTACGAGTGCCAAAGGATGAATTGGAACCCCTTCCCAAATCAATGACAGGAAAGTCGAGCGGCTTCAGACAAAGGAAAGTTTTTGTTTAATTTAATCGGAGAAAAGTGTTGGATCTCTAACATCTTCACTGGTAAAATCCAGTATTTTTCTCAGAAAGGTAAAACAATTTGTAATCATATCACTGTTGTCCAAACAATTAGAGTCCCCACACATAGCTATGTGACCTTTGCCCATTGCCATGAGACCAAGAATTGGAGAATATGTTTGTTTCACCAAAAATAAACCATATTTCAAATTAGAAAGTATCTTTTATTTTACCTCTTGTATTTCAAATCAGAGGCCACATTTATCAATTTTTATTTTAATACATATAATTTATGGGATAGAAGGTGTCATGTCACACATGCTCAATTTGTGTTAAAGAAAATACTTCAACTACATCAAGTTTTCCACCCCTAAAATATTCCACATAATACCCACATGCACTATCATATATATATACACACACACGTGTGTGTGTGTGTGAATTACTCAAAATCGGGTAGGACAACTAGTAAAAGTGATTCCTTGCACATATGGTGTAGTTGTTCATCTCTTTCATCCATGCTAATCTTATTAACATGGAGGTATTATTCAATTTTTTTTTTTAAATTTATTTTCATTAGTGTGAAGAAACAATGCAAAGTAAACTAATATTAAAATTATATTTTACTTAGCAAGCTGACGCTAAATTAAATAAATTTTAAATAAAAATGAATTATCATTGGTCAAAATGATGTTAAAATGCTTTTATTAAAATTAATGATAAATTAGTATGGGTTAAACCGACGCTAGTTAGAGTCAATCTTCATAAACTAATACTAACACATTAGTGTTCATAATTTTAGAGTCACATGTGTTTGATGCAAATTCAACACTTATAACTATTTAATGTTAGTTTTTATATCTATCAATTTTTTTTTCTAGCATACAAAATGGTCTTAGATGTTGGTGAGAAAAAGTTTTGCTTAGAAGTTAACCAAACTTATATCTATTCTTAACAATTGATCATAAAATTTGATTTATATTTAGGTTTAAACTCTCATTTGGTCCTCATATTTGCCGGTCAATCTCAAGTGGGTCATTATTTTTTTTCGGTCTCAATTGGATCCATAAACTTGTAAAATTGTCTCAATTGGGTCCAAATATTTGAAAAATTGAGTCAATTAAACCTTGTCGATTAAGTTTTCACAAACGGCGTTAAAATTTGCTCACGTGGTGCAAACTTAATATGTTAACGTAAGACTATTATATTACGTGGAATTTTTTAACTAAATTAACCGTGTTTGACGTGGCACAAAACTGAATTAGTAATGTTAAGAAATTTTTAGAATTTTTTAATAAAATAGGGTTAGAGAAAGGAAATTAGGGATTTCATCTGTAAATTCAGTAGAGGAACGCACCAAAGAAGACGAAGCACTAACCTCACCCAACCATCATTCTCCGCCATCATGCAAGCCCTAAACTCGCTCACCTTCCGCGTTTCTCCCTTGGACTCGCTTCGCGCTCCCAACAATGCCGCCAACAGAAGGGTCGTCGCCGCCAAACGCGTCTTCTTCTTCTTCGCCATGGCGGCGCCCAAGGTCTCTGCCCTGCGACGCCAGAAGGACCCCAATCGTGTCTTCTTCGTCTCCGCTTCGCGTCCGTGTTTGGAAACGACGTCGAGGATTATTATGAGAAGCTTTAATGCCCTTATTGTTGTCACAACTTCTTCAGATTTATGCTTTTGGAGGGGTTTGGTTCACCGGATTCGTCTGATTCGTAGTCTCGATCGTTTGATAACGATCTTGTTGCTCTGGTTCCAAACCTTTGGACAAAATTTTGTCACGGAGTGAAGATTTGCCGTTCGGTTGCTAGTGAAGAATTCTTGAAGCGAAAGTGAAATCTCCTTGTTGTGGTGGTTCGATTTTAACCTTAGTAATATGCAAGTTGAGAAGAGGAAGAAAAAGAGCTTTGCTATATTGTAATGTTTGATTTTCATTTTAGTTTTAATACGAGGGTCATTTTTCATATTATTTCAGAGGCCCTTTGATAATCGTCCTTTGTTATTATTGATTATCGTCCTTGTCGGAAAGAGTGCCATCATCACCATCGATCGCTTGGACGCGTCCAAGTTTCCCACCCGCTTCAGCGGCCAGATCCGTGGCTTCTCTGCCAAGAGCTACACCTTCTCCCAAAATTTTAATTTTTTTCCTACCCTTTTTGTTGTTTCTGATTCAGTAGGTTTCAATTGTCCCTGGTTTATATTCTTCTGGATAGTGAGCCTGACATCATCGATGGTGTGGTCAGTGTGTGTGAATTGTGGATTGGAAGAGAGCCACTGATGGAAGCCTAATACATTGCGGCTAGCTTCGGGACAGAGGTTTAGGGTTTGGAGAATCAAATATGGGGTTGGAGTGATGTAGGAGTAGCTGAGGTAGAGGCACTTCGAAACTGAAAGAGGGTCAGAGTCCGAATCTTTCAGAAGCTCACTGTGTTATCAAGGTGCCACATGCAACAATTCCGATCGTCGTCGCTCACCATTGTCAACAACCATCACTGTCGTTGTTGGCGGAGGACTATTTTCGATCGCGATGTGCCTCTAACCCTATTTCATTAAAAATCTCCTAATTCGAAGAAATTCTTAATCTGGACAATTAAATAATATAACACACGTCATATAACACTTAGATAATACTTAATAAAAAATTAAATAACAAATTCCACGTAATATAAGACATATACAACAACAGATTAAGTGTGAACCACGTAAGCCAATATTAACACAATATGTGAAAACATAACGGAAAAAGCTTAATTGGCTCAATTTTACAAGTTTATGGACTCAATTGAGACTGAAAAAAAAAGATGACCCATTTGAGATTGACCAACAAACATGAAGACCAAAAGCGGGTTTAAACCTTTATATTTACCTAAAAATGATATTATTATAAATAAATAATTATGATTGATAATGATCGAAATAAACTTACTAATGTAAGTTGAAATTATCGATTAATATTAATTAAGAAATAATTGATATAAGGTTTAATAATTCACTAAGTCCCTATTTTCGCATGGAATCTCAATTTCGTCCCTTTCTTTCTGAAAATATCAATTGGGTCCCAATTTTATGAAAATTGCAACAAATCGATCCTTTCCGTTAATTTGGCTGGACGACGTTAAAAAAATTGATGAGTGAATGCTGAGATGACAAACGAGCGCTCGTCCACTAGCGAACGAACGCTCGTCCAGCAGCGAACGAACGCTCGTCGACCACCGAACGAACGGTCGTCCAGTGTGGAACGAACGGTTGTCCAGCAGTAAGAGGTCCACGAGCGTTCGTTCTCTGGTGGACGAGCGTTCGTTCGCTGCTGGACGAGCGTTCGTTCGCTGGTGGACGAGCGCTCGTTCGTCATCTCAGCATTCACTCATCAATTTTTTTAACGCCGTCCAGCCAAATTAACGGAAAGGATCGATTTGTTGCAATTTTCATAAAATTGGGACCCAATTGAAATTTTCAGAAAGAAAGGGACGAAATTGAGATTCCATGCGAAAATAGGGACTTAGTGAATTATTAAACCTTGATATAAATTGAAAGAAACATCAAATTATACTAATTGAAAATAATTAAC